TGTACAGTGATGCAAAGACACATTTATATCCAGGGTGTGAGGAATTTAGTTTGTCGAAAGCAGTGTTGGAATTGGTGAACTTGAAAGCTAGATCTGGGTGGAGTGATAAGAGTTTCACAAAAATGCTTGAGTTATTCAAATTAATGATTCCAAGATAAAATGTATTGCCGATTCGTTACTATGAGGCAAAGAAAAATTTATGCCCACTGGGCATGGAGTTTAAGAAAATACACATGCCCAAAATGACTGCATATTGTACAGGAGAGAGCATAAAGAGGAGCAAAAGTGTCCTGTATGTGAAACACCAAGGTATAAAGAAAACAAAGCTCCTATGAAGGTGTTATGGTATCTTCCAATCATTCCAAGGTTTAAACGATTGTTTGCTAATGAAAAGGATGTGAAGAATCTAAGATGGGATGATGTAGATGTCTTCTTGTAAATTTAAATGAAATTAAACAATTTAGCTTTTTAAACTAACTTGTTTTCATTTTTGTAGGTTTTTGCATCAATTGCTAGTTTCCTCAAGTAAAGACAAACAATACGGATTTCTTTGCCCACGTTACACTAATGATAAAGAGACCACCAAAAAGGCAAAGGAGGCATATATGAACCAGAGGCTCAGTGAAGGCGAAAAGGAGTGTTATTTTTCCATGTTTCTCAATCTGTAAGTAAATATATTTGAATTTATTCATAATGGTATCAAATATTTGCTTAAATAACTTTTTTTGCAGTACACACTGGCAATTGATAGTGTTTTTGATGAAGAGAAATTCTATAATCTTTTTATGCTCTTTGCATCGTAAACTCAATCCGACAATAAAGAAATCTTTCAAGCAGTAAGTGTGCTTAAGGAGTCTTATAATAAAATTTTTTAGTGATTAAGTTACTAACTATGTCATGTTAATGATAGAGCTATGAGGATTGGCCAGGAAGTTCGGTTGGGCAAGGCCCCTCGTGATGTCAAGAATCCTACATGGATAACACCAAAGGTAACGAGTTATACATGTTTTTATTTTATGTAATTTTGATGATATAGCCTTCTTTCAGTATAATTATGACAATGTTGTGTTATTCTATAGAGCCGTCGGCAACCCCCTACTACTTTGTGCTGCTGTTATATGTTGAGACATACATACAATATCATCACCGCTGGCTTGACTGAGTTCACTGAGAAGGTAAATGTAATTTTAGATATTATTTATTTTTTCTTCTAATATAATTACTGATTTAATTCCCTTATCCTTAATCTTTTCAGATGGTCAATGATCCATCTCCATTTTCGGATTCAGAGATCCATCAAATAAGGCAACATTGGGGACTCTTCATGTTCAATCTTCATAATAATCATCCTTTAGAAGAGTGAACTGTGTAGTTGTAAACATTAGTAAATATAGTTGTGTGTAGGATTATGTAGTTGACAATTTATGTTTTATGTGTTTGGAATTGTACATAATTTTAAATTCATTTGATTTGAACAATATATGATTGTCTAGCTGGCTGATTGTTATTTGGCTATTATATGTTTGATTAATGCAAGATTTAAATTGCAGCCTATAATGGTTGGGGTAAATGAAAAAATGAAAAAAAATTTTACTTAGAAAAACAAATATCTACACTGGTTATAACCAGTGTAGATATAACATCATCTACATCGGTTCAATGAATAACCGGTGTAGATAATAATATATCTACACCTGTTATAACAATAACCGATGTAGATATATAGGTTATCTACACCAGTTTAGGCAATGATCGATGTAGATATATGATTATCTACACCTGTTATATCTAGAATTGGTGTAGATATCAACTTTTAAAAAAATTACGTATATATTCATAATTAATGTTATCTACACTGAATTTATAACCGGTGTAGATATATTCATTAACTACACCAGTTAAATAACTGGTGTAAATAACTTCATGATATATACACCAATCTTATCTACACCAATTACTAAACCGGTATAGATAAATTATTTTAACCGGTGTAGATTTACTTGTGTGTATTAGTGTTTCCTTCCACACAATCAAGTATTGAACATACTTAAAAGAAGTTTTGCTGCTCCTTATAGCGACATGAACCAATAACTCATACTTTTTTTTTTTTTCAAGCGTCATAGAAAGAAATATTTTAATAATTTTGAGCTATTTACATTGAACTGAAGATAAGGTTTCGATTTAAAAATATAGATAAATTTAATTGTTGAATTAATTTCTATGTGTATCTTCTCTTATGGTTAGGGCAACTGTCATTTAAAAAAACAATTAATTGTTGAATTCATTTAAATTGTTTATATATATTAAAAATATTTTTTTATTTCGGGGATAAAAAATAATTTTCTAAATATTAATTATCTAAATATATTAAAAACATAAATTTTATGTTATTCAATTTTTGTCAAAATAAAAAATTTTATTTTTTTAAAAAAATTGTCATCAATAGAGGGACTCTCAAGTCTTACTAGGTAATAAATTAACTAGTGGAAATAATTAGAATATTACATAAATTTAATTAAGAGAGCAAAAAGTCTACTGTGTACTGTACAGTGAAGCTCAAACAAAAGAAGTGAACCCGTGTGGGTAATCGAGAGTGTACATTTATAATTAATTCCTGTATTATAGACGTATGGTAACTAGTTTAAAAAAATTTTTTAATCTTAAATTTTTTTTTTAAAAAAAAAAAAGCATTCTCTTTTTCTATTAGATTAATATGTGCAATCAATATAATTATTTTTAATATAAAATATTAAAAGCAAAGGTATTTTTTAAAAAATCAACACATTTTTTTATTAACAACTAACTTAGCAAATTTTATCAATTTATATGAATTAGGTATTTAATTTTTATATTTAAGATGGAAGGGAGTATATAATTTTATCGTAACACAATTACTCAATTACTAAACTAATTCTTAAATCTCAAAAAGAGATCTTTCTAGAAATTAACCAAACTTACTTAGAATCTACTATTTAAAAGGACTTTAGACAATTCTTTTGAAGATACTTATGCCCTGCTTGGTTGCTGAAAAGAAATGATATGAAATGAATAAAAATAAATAAATATAAAAATAAGATATCAATATGTGAAGGTAAATATGTCAGCTATATTGTTAATAGAGAAATATAATTTAATTCATTGGATTGGAAGTCATGATTCATAATATTTTTGAAGTGTGTGATGATTCTAACAAGGTTAAAACTTATATATTTATCCTTATATACTTAATATACTTTCATCAAATAAATTAAGACATATAGATTTTAATATGTTAATAATATTAATAATAAGAAGTTATTGTAAAATAAATAATCTATAATAGATATATATATATCTTGATTTAATTAAAAATAAACACTTTAAATATATAAGCTTTTCCCTTCCAATAATTGTGATATATAATATTAAATTTTATCATATTTATCGAAAGGTCAGAGGCAAAAATGATTTGGTTTATTTTAATTTTTTAAATCATTTCTGTTCCTATCCATCTAACAACCAAACAGGACCTTACTATCTCTTTCTGGCCCGAAGATATTTACTCATGCTTACGAGTATGAGAATGTGCACCCGCTAGATCATTGTTCTATTTATTACTTTTTTAGTTCAACGGCTATGCATTCACAAATTATGTGACAAAAACTACAGGCTTTTCTAAAACCAATGGCCCGCTTTTGGTTTTTGTCCCATCAACAAACCCCAGACGCAAGTCTATCCATCAGCATTAACTTCATTATATTTTTTAAATTATATATATCACTTTACTGGATTAAGTGTTTGTGACACTTAACACTCAACGAATTAAATATTCGTAAATGATATTCGCTCATGTCTTTTTCATGGAAATATTTGAAAAAGATTATTTTGATTCTTTTCACAATACCTTTCCAAATTGTCTAATGAAATTAATTTTTTTATATTTTTTAAAAACAAAATTTAAAAAAAATAAAGGAGTGGACTGGTGGTGAAATTGTGAGAAAAGCACCTCCTTCCCACTTACATTCATCCATGAATGTTATTATTAATTACTCGTCTGATTGTATTTATAAATTATTTTTAATATATTTTATTAAAAAAGAAAATTTAAAATTCATTAACTATATCTAAAATATTAATAATTTTTTTATTTTAATACTATTCTTGTTAAATATGCATCCCTTGATAATATATCTTTTCTTCTCAATATTTAATAAAAGGTATAAGAAAATATGATAAAAAATTGTCAACATAACTTATAAATAAAATAGAATAAATTTTCCCCTCGGCTATCTTATAAATAAGATAAGAGGGTTGCTTAAAAATATAAGAATTTAAATCTTCTGAAAATTGAGATTTATAATGTAAGTGAAATTTTCTTTTTAATGAAAAAAAAATATTTTACATTTTATAAATATAATAAAATAATAAAACTATTAAAAAAGGAAAATATTAATGGAGTATTTGAGTTAATGAGGATTTGAATTTGAACTAAATTCCTTTATGAATTTAGATTTAGTTCAAATTTAAATTCATTTCAAATTCCATTTTTTTATAATTTTAAATTTAACATTTTTCTTCCATCTCTTGTTAATTATAATATATATATATATATATATATATAAATTCATCATTTTTAATCTTTAATTTTTTTTAAATCCTAATTTATATCTCTTTTTTATTCAAAATTGTTTAAATTATCTAAATAAAAAATTTTAAATGTATAAATTTTAAATGTAAAACTCAAATTCATATCCATCAGTGCCAACACTACCTTAAAAAATGTACACATATCAACTTCAAAGATTTAAATCTAAAATATAGAGATACATTAATTAAGTACAAAAAGTACAGATAATTGTAACATCACTATGAGAATTTCGGATAACCCATGTTGTCTCTTCCTTGTTCTGATTTGGACCATGAACATCAATAAAATCTATACTGTCTAAATCTGTTTTGGAGGGATGAAATTTGAAGTTTTAAATTGATAATTTTAAGCCAATAATGGAAAGAAATTAAATCTTAATTGTCCGATCCAGATTAAGTTCGCGGTCATCAGCATCAATAAACCACTTCCCACATCATATAATAATAACCCCTCGCCTAATTACCTATCTATTCCACGAGTTTCCAACAATATCCAAATGATTAAGCGAATTACAGTCTCCTTCGTCATCATCTTCTTCCTTCTATCGTCGGCCGTCGGTGCCCAGTCAAGTTCCGGCTCGGTGAATTCTCCAAATGCTCCAATTCGCACTTGGGACGTATCATTCGCTCCCGTGGCTGTGGCCCTCGTTTGCGCCTTCGTGTTCATCGGTTGCTATGCCATCTACCTCCACCGCTGCGCCGACTTGGAACTGCCTGACGGAGACCCGACTGGCGCCGCCGCTAATTGCTGTTCAAGTGGTCATCAAGGTATCGACCCAAAATTACTCGATACCTTCCCCATCCTCGTTTATTCCTCCGTCAAACACCTCAAATTTGGGAAAGCTACGTTGGATCAGTGTGCCGTGTGCTTGAGCGAGTTTGAGTCCCACGATACGCTGCGATTGCTTCCCAATTGTGCCCATGTGTTTCACCCTGAATGCATCGACGCTTGGTTGGCCTCCCACGTGACTTGCCCCGTTTGTCGGTCGAGGGTGAAACCGGCGGAGGAGCACCGCCGAGGTGAACACGAAGTAGTGATAGTGATTCCGAATGAGGTTATTAATGCACACCAGGTGTTCGATGAAAGTTCTGTGAGCAGAACAGAGCTTAATTCAGGAGAAGGAAGAAGTTTGGGAAGGTGTCATTCAACGGGTCACTGTTTGGGTTTGGGTGAAATCGGAGGGAACGATGCGGCGAGGTACAGTCCGACGACTTTGCCGGAGGATGTAAGGAAACATATTCTGGTGAGTCATGGAGGAATGCGGCGGTCGGCGAGCTACGATGTGCTCTGTAGACGGCTGAGTGATGAAGAGAGCCTTTGATTCTTTGAATGGAACTTCCATTTGTTTCTCATTCTGTAAATAAACGGCCGGCGTGAAGGAGAATTACATGAATTGTATTTCATGTCATGTGAAGCACTTTGGCCGTCGTCATCCTCTGTAGGAAGTGGGAATGGTAAGCTTGGAGAATTTCGTTATGTTAGCATTGTTATAGTGTTGTAAATATTTTAGGAATATTTGTTTTTACGGACTACGGAGCATGTACAAAGTTATTCATTGTGTTTAATATATGTATTTTTAGTTGTAAATAACACAAACTAACAATGTACTCATCACAAACAATCTATTCGATTTGTAGCAAGGGAAAAAAATGTGTTGTTGGGAAGGAGATCCTCTCATCGTTTCTTTTCTCAGCGTCTCTCATCACAGTCTGTCATCGTCGTTGAATCGTACTCGTTTAAACAATCTGTCGGTTTATGATGCACCACATCATGAAACTTAAAAAAAAAAAAACAAAAACAAAAACAAGAAGAGGAGGAAGAATAGTAAAGTCCCAAAGAAGAAATTATTGATAATTATCTTTGACAAAAAATTTTGAAAAAATGAGTTGTAAAATTAATTCTGACAATTACAAAAAAAAAAATCAATTATAAACTAACAGTCACATTTAAAGTTTAAATATTTTTACGTGCGATTGAAGTTTTTGGATTTAAAATTATTTGAATAAATATTTGTAATTTATTTTTAAAATTTTTTTTCAGAGATTTAATTAATAGTTTAGGACTTAACTGTAATTATTTTTTAAAAATATATGCTTGAATAGTGAATAGAGACTATTTTTAAAATTTCAGTACCGTTATTCTCTCTTTTTTAATAAAAAATTAGTAATATATTTAAATTTTAAATATAACTCTTAATTTACAATTAAATTTTTTATTTGCAATTGTTTGAATTAATTTTTACAACTCATTTATAAAACAGTCTTGTTGAAAATCTAATTGTTATTATTTTTTTTAAGATTGTACTGTTATCCTCTTCTTTAAAAATCTTGTGATGTGGCGTACTATGAGCCTGCAAATTATTTTAACGGGTAATATTTAAGGCTGCTGAAAGACACTCAGAAAAGAAATACAAGGAGGATCCAGACTTTTTGTTGTTGTTGATGATGATGATGAGCATTGTAGTAATGATGCAATTTTGTTGTTGTTGTTGAGAATTGCACTAATGATTCATTTTTGCTTTTTATCGACGATACTGATGTTGCTAGCTATTTTATATATATAGTATGTACTTAATAAAGGACTCCATCCAAAATTTGATACAATGTTCATATGATTTATTTTCAAAAATCTTTTTTAACTTTTTCACTCTTAACTTAAATAATTGCTTTAATTGATCCAAAGTGAATTTAAAAAAATTATAGACAATATTGACATTTATTTAATTTTAATAACCGTCCTTAATATTTCAAAACTAGGTAATTAAAATTATCAGTAAAATGAGGAACGCAGAACTTTAAATTTTTCCAGTTTAAAGTAGGCCCAAAAAAAAAAGTTCGAGTTTAAAGATGTGAATGAAATTTAATTTGTTATAAGTGGAAAATTTCGGATATTATATCAATATAGTATTTAGTTTAAAAATTAATGTTTTGTTTCTTATATCAATTGCGTTTGTCTGATAAAGAAGATGATAGGAGGTAATTAAAATTATTAGTAAAATAAGGAACTCAGAAATTTTGAATTTTCCAGTTTAAAGTTGGCCAAAAAAATTTCCAGTTTAAAGGCGTGAATGAAATTTAATTTGTTATAAGTGAAAATTTTCAGATATTATATCAACTTATTTAATAAAAATAGTTAGGATCAAAATCCATTTTTGAACCATTTTTTGAAGTTTAAATAAAAAATTGTAGTAAAGTTGAGTTTAAAACACTGGCTATTCCTAAGAATATAATTTAGGAGCAAAAATGAGGTTTAACCCAAAAAATTAATATTTTATTTCTTATATCAATTGAGTCTCAGTGGGTGCCTGAATATATATAATTGTATTTGAATAAAAAGAAAGGAAAAAAAAAAGTTGGACACCTTTTTTTTAACCAGTAAGTTGGACACCTTATGAAATATTTTTCTATTAGATGATCTAAGGGTGCTTTCTTCAGTTTTCCTTTTTTTTTTTTTTTTTGATACACTGAGAGTGCCTTTCCTCTGTAGGGTAAAAATGAAAAATATTTAATTAAAAATAATTTTTATTCTCAAATTATTTCTTCAAAAGTACCTAATATCTTATATATTATTTTAGTACAATGTTTTCTTTAAACTTGAAAAGATTGTGCAATTCCCTCTTATGTTAGAAAGAAGATGTCCACATTACAAAATTTAGAGAAATGATAGTTGGGTTTCAAAATATTAAATTAATTTCCTTTAAAAATATAAGGCATTTTTAACTAAATCTCAACTATTATAAAATGGTTAACTATTTTTTAACTAATTTTATTTTTTTATATTTAGTCCTATTAAACACTCTATAATAGATATAAATTTATTATTAATAAGGACTTTTTTTTAAAAAGGTAATAATTAAATCTCAAAAGATTAAAAATATCTTATACTTTTTAATATTTAACTCCTCAAAAAATATCTCACATTTTTAAATGAAAGGAGTACTAGTTAAATTCTCAACAAAATTTTTTAAAAATAAATTACAAAGCATCAATCTAAATTATTATAATTTAAAAATTTTTAATTACAAATAAATATTTAAATATTAAATATAAATTTCAGATTGCAATAAAAAATTTTATTTATAACTATTTAAATTAATATTTGTAATTTATTTTGTAAAAAATTTTATTAAAAATTAAGATTAAATTTTTATTTATAATTATTTAAATTAATTTTTGTAATTTATTTTGTAAAAAATTTTATGAGTGATAAATAAAAAATTTAATCTAACTTTCATTTAAAAAAAAAAAAAACTTATTTGACCAAACCTGCGGATGCGACAATATACAAAAGTTAGGGCCCACATACATATCAGCGTGGCAAGCTGAAAATACTTCTCCCTCTTCTCTCGGCGGCTTCCTCCTTCTAGTTCCTTTCAAATTTCAACTCGAAAGTCTCGCGGCGATGGAATCTTTCATCCCTTTCATTCATCAATGGCAATCAGGGTTTGATAAGGGTAAGCCAAATAAATTAATATTATAATTTATTATAACTTTTATAAATATATTTATTTTGCCAAACTCTTTTATATTTTTTAAATAATATTTTATATCACTTATACATAATATTAATTAATAGTAAATTTAATAAGAGAAAAGAAAACTATATATTTAAATTTATTTTTAAGTGATCTAAAAATTTGATATTCTATTTCTTATACATAAATTATTATATAAAATAATATTTTTATTTAATTATTATGTTAATGACCCTTTAACTTGTTAACATTTTTCGTCTAATATCTTGTCTAACTTCTAAAACATTAGTTATAATCATGTTTTCGGTTTTTCACAAATATCTTTTTATAAAAATCAATCATATTCCACACATTATCGTATATTAAATATGAGTACTTATTTTAATAAATATATAAATATTAATTTGTCATATCGATTCATTCCTTCTCCTGCACTCAATCTTTTAACTAAACCGGAGGCTTCTACTAAAAACCAAAACCAGTGCACACAGGTTTTGGTTTTTGTCCAAGGAAGACGCAAGTGGGCTTTACCACCACTTAATGATTGCACTATATCAACTGTTAAGACAATCTGGAACATTCCCATTTTTATTTAAATTCTATTTTCACTCTATCCCTCTCTCTCATTTGTTCCTAAATATCTATTCACTGAAACTTTACAACACTATCCGAATGATCAGTAGAATCACACACATACACGTCCTTGTCTTCTTCCTTCTCTTGTCGGCCGTCGTCCATGCCCAGTCTAGTTCGCCGCCGGTGGCTTCTCCTAAAGTTACTCCCCACAACTTGGTCTACCCATCCTTCGATCCTGTGGTTGTGGCCTTCATTTGCTTCTTCTTGTTCATCAGCTGCTGCTCAATATACCTCCGCCACTGCTCCACCATAAACCTGGCCGCCGGAAACCTAACTCCCACCACCACGAATTGCTCCTCAAATGATCCTCAAGGTGTCGATCCAAAATTACTGGACACCTTCCCGATCTTCCTATATTCCGCTGTGAAACACCTCAAATTTGGGAAAGCCCCACTCGAGTGTGCCGTGTGCTTGAGCGAGTTTAACCACCAAGATACGCTCCGACTGCTTCCGAAATGTAACCACGTGTTTCATCCTCAATGTATCGACGCCTGGTTAGCCTCTCATGTGACTTGCCCTGTTTGTCGATCAAGGCTGATGCCGGCGGAGGAGGAGCACCACGGTGGTGAAAACGAAGTCGTGATAGTAATTCCGAATGATGTAAATGCACATCAGGTGTTCGATGAATGTTCTGTGAGCAGAACGGAGCTTAATTCAGGCAATGGAAAATGTTTGGGGAGGTGTCATTCAACGGGTCACTCTTTGGGATTGCGTGAAATCGGAGGGAAGGACACAAAGAGGTACACTATTTTGATGTCGGAGAATCACGGAGGAATGCGACGGTCGGCGAGCTACGAAGTGCCTCGTGGACCGCCAGGTGAAGAGAGCAGCAGAGAGCATTTGATTGTTCCTCCTCACTTTACTGATCACCCTGATCTGAAATTGCAACACTGTACATTACAAATCCTATGAAAGAGAACTTCATGGGTTTCAAGTAGTGTGAACTGATTGGGAGCTCATCTTCGCTGAACTGGAAATTATTGCTGAAAGAAAGTTGGAATCCCTTTTCTAATGCGAGGATATTGCTAGGCCCAGATAATATATTTGGTTGTAACCTTCCGATAATATATTCATAGACGTGTGTGTCGGAATATATGTTCAGTTGTAAATAACGAAACGTGCTTGTCTTGCTAACCGTTTGCAGAGATACAGGACGTGTTTGGTTTCTGTTTTTATTTTTTATTTTTAAAAACTGTTTTATAATTTAATTGTTAAAATAAAATAAAATAAAAATTCATTTGATTATGTCAATTTAAAAACAGTTTTAAAATTAAAAAACATACTGATAGTGATTGTTATAATTATTTAATGATTGTGATTAATTATAAAAATTGATCAATATAATTATAATTTTTAATAATTAAATATATTTTATTTTAAAAAAATAAAACGAAAATAATTTAAAGTTGTTTTCATTTTATTATTTTTGAAAACAGCTAAATGAGAAACACTTACTTAAATAATTTTTTTAATTTTTGTGTTTTTAAAAAATAAAAAACAAACAGACTCATATATTATGGAGTAATCTTTGGATGTGATGTTAAATTGTTTATTTTTCAACTTCAAATTCTTTATTAATTTGCAGTGTCTTTTAATGTGAAAAAATACCGTTGGTTAAAACTTAAAAGCGATTTGGACATTATTGGGATGACAGGAGAGCAAAACTTTTGAACAGTAAAGGCTTGATTTTTTAATTGTCAAAAATTTATTTATCCAAAATTTCATTGGAAAAATTACAATAAGATCTCACAGATCAGACTTAAATACTCTTAGATCTCATGAATAAAATAAATTATTCTAAAGTCTCATGGTCTTTAGGGGTAAATGGTTTTGAAACTAAAATGTCTCATTTGCCCTTAGCTGATTAAAAGGGGAAAAAATGAAAGAAAGAGGAAATATTTGGTTCATTTTCGCACGTGATGGATACCTTCTTTTGAATTCTGAGGCACAATTAAAACTTCTTACTCTGCCTAAAACTAATTATCGAACTCCCTCTCATCTCTACACCATTGCCTCTTTGGAAATCATTGAGTGAATATCTTCCACCCTCTCTTCTCTTCTAAAGTTCTCACCCTTAAGTGGCTTTGCATTTCGTCAGGTTTTGGTTAGTAAATCATCATCTTTGGTGTAGTTGACGTCTTCAAGTGAGTCAACATTTTCTTTAGAGACCCAAATTATAATCACTCTTCATCTTTTCATTTCTTCACTTACTTGACTACCCTATTTGCATATAAATCAAAACTCTCACTTGTGTTTCTCGCATAGTGGTTAGTTGTATTTGCTGTCAAAGACCTTGCATCACTCCCATTTTCTCTGTATCTCTCCATGCCACCAGGTTCATTTTCCCCTCTTTTTAGTGCTTCTTATGAAAATTTGTGAAATGGAAAAATCATTGTGGTAGTTGTGGTTGTGAATTGTAATTGATTTATGCAATGCATATATGCTGATAGGACAGTAAGAAATTCAATCAAGAGGGTAATTAACTGTTAAATGAGTATATGCTAGTGACAACTAGGGTGTAGGACAATAACAAGTGCACTTAAAAAATTGACAAGTAGTGTACATGGAATTGACAAGTAAACATGTATTTTCTGGTGATTGGTGACAAGTATGTTGAAGGTGAATAACAAGTTTAGTTAGGAAATTGACAAGTAGTATACAGAACATTAACAAGTAAATGCGTATTTTCTAGTGACAAGTCGGGTTAAGACAATAATAACTTGACTTAGGAAATTGACATGCCGTGCATAAGGCATTAACAAGGTTCTTGATACTATTGAAGCTACTGAGAAACAGAAACTTACTATAACCTCCCAAGCTATAACCAAATCATTTATTTTATTGATATTAATATTCATTCAATCATTCTTATAACATGGTATAGTCTCTAGAACATGCCTTTCCTTCATTTTCATCATTAATATCTAATCTTGCCATATCTATTTGTAGTTCCATTGTGGGACAAGTCACAGTACAGCCACAGCTATATAAATTATTGATATCCAATCATTTCCCACAAACCCAAATATGACTTTATATTTCTTCAACAAAGAAAAAGATCTATCTTCCAATGATTAAAACAGCATCATACTAACTAATTAAAATAGCAACCAGAACTTTTAAGCTTGGCATTCTACACATAGTAGTAATACCTAGTAGGCATGAGAAAAGAAAAAATTATAGTTAAATTTCAAAAGAACATTGAATTAATAAAAACTAAATCTTTCAGGAATTTTTTTAAAAAAATTGAGTTGCAAATATCACTCAAACAATTACATTTAAAACTTAAATATATTATTTGAAACTAAAACTCATGTGAATATTGATATTTTCAACCCATTTTTTAGAAAATATTGTTGGAAACTTAACTGTCATTAAAACTAAAAGTCATTCTTTCCGTGAGAAAAATGTCTAACTCTTCAGTTCTTGATGATCTCCAGAAAGATCTCACTCCATGTGTCTATAGGACTAGGCAAGCACCAATGAATATAATCATTTTGAACATGTTCTTTAACCCCATTAGCAAATGGAAATGGATGCATGTAAGATCTTGGATGCCCATCTGGCCTCATCAATGCTAGCTTCATCACATCCAATACCTCTAATCCAAATCTCTCACCATTATTAGCCATATTAGCAGCTTCAGAAGTGTCCGTAGTATTAGTTTCTTAGTATAGTATTATAGAAAACCAACAAAAGGAAATAAGTTGTCTTAGTCTCAAGACATGAACATGATGCCAATGAAAGCTTATTTCTTGAAAGGTTAAAAGTTCTCACATTGTGATTTTTTTAACTTATTTTTATTAGAAAATTTGGTGAAGAACTCTTGAAAATGATGTCTTATTGTTGGTCCAAAAGAAAGAATTATATTTTGTATAAGTTGTAGAAGCTAAGAAATACTATTAAGTTTGATTTTTGGGTAAACTATTACTTTTTGCATATGATACCCATGTTTTCCTTGGACCTTCTTTACCTTTAAAACTCCATTTAGAATTGACAAGTTTGATATTTTGGTTATTTGTTGATGACAAGTAGGGTTAGGACATTAACAAGTTCACTTAGAAAATTGACAAGTAGTGTATAGGGCATTAGCAAGTGAGTGGTTATTTGCTGATGACAAGTAAGGTTAAGACATTAATAAGTTTACTTAGCAAAATGACAAGCATGCATATAAGTTGTACATGTAGGTGGTTAATGTATGTCATACGTGTTGTCATTCTAATTTTTACTAATATTAAGCTAATTTAATCATCTTATTTTTAAGAATCGCACAGGAAGCTATTTGAATTAAAGAAATCAAATAGTATTAACATAAGCCTTCACAAGTTAACCTTCTCTGGCATCGCTTGTAACATCATGGATTTTAACTTTGGGTATTTTCAATGTTTATAAGGGTATTTTAGTCAAATTAAGTGAATTTTTGGTTAATAATGTTTTAGAAAGACTAATATAGCTAATGGATCCTTGGATAGCTTAAAAAAGGGCTAGATCAAAGTACGAGTAGGCCATAGCATGGAGAGAGATTCGAAATGTGTGTGGAGTTCTCTATGTCATGCACGGCGGTGCATGTACAAATTTTTGCATTTATCAAATTGCGAAATCAGATAAAAAATGAGAAGTAGGATGGAGAGAACATGAGGAATCGATGAGAGACGATTGGTAGGTGCTAGGGCTCAACTTTGGGGTCACTTTGGAAGTATTTGGAGTAAGATTTAGCTTTGGGTAAGCTTCCTATACTTCTCCTTCTCCTTATATTCAGACTTTTCTGATTATTAAAATATTTTAGGGTTTTGATTTAGTTTTTCTTAGATAATGGCTAAACCCATTACCTTAGTTAAAGTTTTGGGTAGTTAAATCAAGTCTCTAACCTTAGATTTATGGATTATATAAAGATTTGGAATTGTTGATTAAGATTTGGACGAACCTTAGGTAGAAATTGAATGATTAAGGATAACATGAGTAATATAATGGTGTTATTTATATGTTGAGATGTTAAATGAGGTTAATGTAGTGTGTTAGAAGGATTGTTGGGGCTAAATTAAGGTTTTGAGCATAATGGGTACCCTTAGTTGTACTATAAAATGAGGTGATTTGTATGGGGATTGACAATCATGGGTTTAATTGTGTAGATTAACCTTTGATCAAGCATTACGGTGCTAATGGATGCCTGTGAATTTATTGGTTGACCACAATAACCCTTTTAGTAACAAAAAGGTTGAGGTAACTGGATTGTCTAATCTACCTTCTTGTGTGTTTAGATGGTAGTGTGTTAGATTTCAAAGTTAATGTTTTGGTTTGATACTAGTACAGTAATAATATGAAAATATGATTTTAAAGTTATGTGAAGTGGAATGAAAATTTGTTTTAATGTTTTAGTATTTAGAAAGCTAAATGCTACTTTCATGTATGTCTACTTGCGAAACTCTACGATTTAAGTGGGAATGAGAAATTGTGATAAATTATATGTTATGATTATGTGTTGGATGCATTGAGCATATTTGGGGTAATCATTGTGAGAGAGTGGGAGTTCACCCTAGTGTGTTGTAGGGACATTATTTGGAAATTCATATGATACACTAGCATCATAGAGGCTTTAGTGCTCAGTATTATATTATTTAGAAGTTCCAATATTACAAGTGATAGATTGGGCATTGATACCCCTAGGAATTATGGACAGGAAAAATCTATGGTCTATAATGGGTAAAGGCACTCTTAGTTAGGGCTGCCTCCTATTAATGGTAAGCTTAGGCCAATCCAATCACATGGACTTGGGTCTATTGAATTATTAGCCCACTAATTTAGTCAAAAGATAGAAGGAGCATATAAGGTGGTGTGTTAATCATGCATATCATACTATAACCATATAGGTGGATTTATGAGATATGTTATATGATTTACTATGCCATTTCACA